TTTTTTTTGGTAGTAAAGGGAAATTTGATAACTCTCTGTTGAGATCCTGGGAAACTTCACCTTAACCAAGATTTATTCATTAGTAATAAGGCTTCTCAACATTACACACTCCTGAGAAGACGCTTTTAACCTCTGTTAAATTTTGCCCATGGGCAGACTATCAATCTAATCATTTTTAAACATTTTTCATTGGTACATGTTTGCCATACATAATGATCACATCCATCAAAGGGGATCTGTGCCTGTTCACATACTGTATCTTAATTCTTCTTCTTTTCTCCATTCCCCAGCCCTCCAACCTGTTCTTCTCTCCATCTGCAAATACTGTTTCCATTTTTTTCCTTCTCTTTAATTTCTTTTTCTTGTCCCTCCCTTTTCCCTCCCCCTTACCCTGTCCCCTGCTCCCCTTTCCATCCAAGCATGTTCTTCCCACTTCCTATCATCCACCTAAATCCCTTGGGGTTTCCCACAAAAGTAAAACAATGTGAGATCTGAAATTCTGTATCCAACGTATTTCACTTAAAATTATGGTCTTGAGGTGCATCCATTTACCTAAAATGTTTCAAATTTATCCTTCTTTACCATCCATCTAATTAGGAGCAAATATCCAAGAAATACTAGTGATTTGCATTCAATTCAGTTACAGCTTAACTGACCAGTACCTTTGCTAGTGTTAAGATCACGAAAGAAACAAGGCTGAGGAATCATAGAATCACTAATAGAATGCATTAGTTAACAGCAATGTGAGAACTTGAATTGGATCCTGGACAGCAAAAGATACCAGAAAGACAAGAAAAATAAAAACAAATTCATTTAATAGGACTAAAATTAAACAAGTATTATAGTTGTGAACCAATGTCCATTATTAGTTTTCATAAGTATACTATAGTTACGCAAGGTGTTATAGAAATTCTCTATGTTGTTTTGGGGGTTTTGCAACTGTTCAGTAAGTCAGTAATCATGTCAAATTAAAATAAGCAACACTGTGGAATGTTCATAATGGAAGCAGGACATTAGGCTTAATATGCAATTTTTATTCAAGTTTTCCTTGTGAAAACCTATAAACCCAGTCCATGCTGTATTTTGGAAAGCGTTATTTTGTGGACTGCAAATTAAAAACAGCTCTTCTTTATTATTCTAGCATGTTAATGATAAGCAAAAATTACCTTTAGATCCTCCTAGAAACCAAGTATGAGAGGATATCTCTAGCATAAAGGGAAAGGAATAGACAGCAAAAAGCCTAGAATTCTGTAAATTGTTCAGAAGTGTTTTTACCTCTTCCTTTTTAGAGGAAAGGGTAGCAACTGCACTTGTTGAGAAACAGAAGCCACTTGAATTATCTCTTGGAGTGTACCGGTTATTAATGCTAGGTAGGTAAGACCCCAGGGGATAATTACAAAGAGAGCTTCTGCTTTTACATGTGGAATTCTGTGAGTTGAGGCAAGAAGGAGCATAGCTTCTTTGGGGCAGGCGGATGTGTATCTGAACAAAATCAATACAAGACTGGCTCAAAGCTCCTGAGGAATAACTAAGCAGCAAGAATAGATCTGTGCTAGAGCAACTGGAGCAGGAACATTACTATGAGCTTGATACGCACCCCTGGGTATAAACTAACACTGCAGATGCTGAGTGGGTTTGTTCCTTGTTTGGATTTGAAGACAAAGGTAATGATACAGAGTGTAAAACCTATTGCTATTATTGCCTAATCATTAAACTTTTTTCATAAATTTTTTTTTTTTAAAGGAGATGAGTGAATAGTTTGGTGAAAACAAGTAACTGAAATGCAACACTGTATTTTAAACTAGAAGTAGCTGACTGCTACATAGTTTGTGCATCACACGTATTTTATTTAAAATAAATGTCAGAGGGTACACATTGACAACACACGCACTGCTTCACCTTTACTCAACTCTCACATCACGGAACAGACCTGTGACTGGACATTGGAGGTGAGTCCCCACACAGAGCAAACAAGTCTCTAGAGCACACCTGCTGAGTATCCAGTGATTCAATTCAAACCTGCCAAAAACAAGAGAATTGCAAGATCAAGGCCAGCACAGACAACTGGGTGGCTTGGCAAGACACTGTCTGAAAATAAAAAATAAAAAGTAGGTTAGGGATGTAACTCAGTGTGAAACTGCTAGGTACAAACATCAGTACCAAAAGGAAAAAAAAGAAAAAAGCTAGTATCTTCTTGGACAGAGCATCAATCCCACAGAGTGACATGTCAGTCCCACAGAATTGCCCCTACCCTTTAGATATCAATCTGAATAGCAAGTTGTCACCTGTACTTGTGATTGGTTATGACTCATACTCCAAGATACCCTCCTTGGGAGAGGTTAATTTACTAGAACAGCTCACAGAATTCAGGAAAAGCCTTTACTTAATATTACCAGGCAATAATAAAAGATTCTACAACGCATCAAGATAAATGACCAGAGTGAGATGCAGGTGACACAGTAAGCTCAAAAAGTGTCCTCAGCAAGACAGCCTTTGTTGCAGTAGAGTTGGGGAGATCAATAGGGCCTCATACTTTGCGAAGACTTTACTCACCTTTTCTATGAAAATAAACTTGGAGATTACGAGGAAGCAGAAGGTGGAATAGCAATTTTGCTCTGTACCTACCCACTCGTTCCCAGTATAAACAATTAGTAATTACTACATTTGAATGTAATTCTCTGAATATTTATCTCTTTCTATGTTTCTTCATAACTCACAGTTAGACACCGTCTCTTCTCAGCCTTTCGGTGAGTGAGGAATGACTGCTGATGGATGGGCTTGAGGGAAGACGGTGATTGGAATGTGGTGTTGGTAAAGCTATATTAACAATCACACAATTCCACACCCTAAATAGGGGAACTGCACGGTGTGTGATTTATAGCCCAATCAAGCAATTATTGAAAACAAAAAATACAATAAAGTCAAAATTATCTAAACTATCAATTTTTGGTTCACACTCTGAGGTGACTTGGACATTTATTTTTTTAATAACAAACTTTAAACTCCTGTGAGCGTATAAGACCTATAGATATAGGAAGCATGGCCACTGGACTCTTTAGTTGCACTAAAGCATTTCAGTTCAGAATTACTGCCACTGTAAGCAAAACAGTATGAACTTTCCCACTTGCCATTGCCTTCATCAGCGTCAGAATCCTTTCAAACGCTGCTGACAAGAAGTGGCAGCACTGCCAATCAGTGATTTGATTACACGTTGTAATGTATACTGAAGTGTCACACTGAACACCATACATATTTTCAGTTAATGTGTAATAGGTGAAAAAAAAATGTAAAAAACTTTGACAGAAATATTTGAAGAGTATTTACAGGCCAGGAGCTCCACCTTTCCCCCATAAAATCTAGGTGGAACCTTGATTAAGGCGCAGCCACCAAACAGCATGTGGGACCACAGCATTATCACCTTAATGTGTCCGGAAACACTGAGGGTAAGGACTGTGACTACCGGGTTAACAATATCCCTTAGTTACCGCGGGCTGATCAGGACCGCAGTCTCCCCAACGAAGGCTAAATAAAAAGAGGCAAATGGAATGATTTCAGGGCTCCAGGAGGATCCGAGCCCTCTCACAGAATTCGAGACTCTCTTGGGGCCAAAACTAAGACCTTCTCTAGTGGCCCATATTTATTTAGTTATCAGAAAAAGGGAGGGGAGTACTCAAGAAGGGTGGAATCACTCAAGGACTTCTCCAAGTAAGGTATTAGGTTAATTCACCCACGAGTGAGATGCCTGAGGACAGTCTTTATCTAGTTCACAGGGATCCAGGCGTCCTTGGCTGGGATCTGGTCTTATCCTTTCAGGCTTTCTGGCTTCATCCACCATTACAGACTTTAGTAGCGATTAGTGACTCACAGAGTCCACCATTTACAGACAAGGAGCCCAGACCTTGGATAGGCTCACAAGAGAACATGAAAAGCCAGTTGCTTATGCCCTGCTCAGGTCTGCTTCGTAGTGGTCTCCATCAAAGGACAACTGCACAGGCCACCTCAGGAAGCTCACTGAGACCGTGCACTGCTGAGCGCGTTTTGGCCCAGCACTGAGGACGCTCTCCCGTCGCCATTCCTCAGTCTCCTCTCCCCCCCCCCCCAGTTACACGCCCACACGACATCCCTCACAGGTCAACGCCGGGAAAAGCTTCTCCGAGGACGCAGATCGTTTTCCCCGGTCACAGAGCTGTGTACCCGATCATTCTCTCTTATGATGGCCACTGAGCACAAACGGCCCTTCCGTCCACCCACGTCCATTCCCGAGTACTCTCTCACGGCAGCTTTCCGCTTCGAATTGTATTTCATTGTCCAATTATTACACTTATGCTCACTTCAAACGCTTCACAGACTCTTAATGATAATAAATGCAGAAATAAATTATGCATGTGTGTATTTTAAGGCAGCTGATTTAAAAAACATATTTCCTAAGAGAACTACATAATCATTCGGGCCTGGAATACAAATGCCCAACAAATATTAGCTACTATGAACCTGTATGTTTATTCTGAAAGAGTAATGAGTTTCTTCATTTCTACTAGTTAAGAAAAAACGAAACTATACTTCATACATACATATCTTTCTATGGGATAGCTTTACTATCTACATTTTTGACCGTATTTTTTCCTCTATTCCTCGAACTTTTTCACAATTCTTTTTAATATATATTATAACTAGCTGGTTAATTTTGAGCGGTATTACTAAACTCAATTACTTACATAAAAATTATAAAAAGGAACTCAGCTCTAGAAAGCCACCCCAAATTGTGGACAAACTTTATTTCCTGGGAATAAGAAAAAGAACAGATTGGTCAATCCCTTGAAAACGCCATTACTAACAAATTTCTCCTTCACCGGTACAAGTCTCTATGCTCAGTAAGTTTTCACTCACCTAATCGCAGCTGTAGTTCCCTTAACAGGCTGGTAGAAAAGTAAGAGCTTTAACTTACCATCTGGCCTGCAACACAGTTCCGGACCCACAATCAGTTGCACTGCCTCCTCTCATGATTGTCTGAAAGACCACACTGGGTGGTCAGTTTCTTGTTTCTTTCTTTCTTTCTTTCTTTCTTTCTTTCTTTCTTT